GAACACCGTTTGTTTACTTTAAACGATTCCTATTAAATGAGTTTATCTTTGAAAATATTCATAATACTATTGACATTTCATAGTCTATAGCGTAAGTAGTTGTATGAAGAAATCGTCTCTTGTTATGTAATCGATTTACAAAAGGGGTTGCGATAAGTTATAACAAGTAACGTCATCTATAATACTTAGATGAATTTAATTTTTTTAAATCATGACAAACATATTTAGAAGATTGAATCTACAAAAAATAAAAACAATCCCTTGAATGTTACTTACGGCAAAGACTGTGAAACAACAATAGCATTAGAAAAAAAAACGAATTCATAATAACTTTATAATATCGATTCTCAACTGGATACTAAAAATGTGAAGTTAAGAAACGATGTCGCAGATTGTGTTCCATTCATTTCTACTCTCTGTATGTCATCAGTCTCTATCCATCAGTCAAACTGGTTTTTTCATCCTAGGCAAATAAGGTAACGAAAAAAAGAACGTGTTGCGTAAATATGTTTGCACAAATAGGTTTTTATTTTCGTTTTCTTTCTTTACATGTTTTGATTTTTATGTCAATATTTCATTTAGTGTTCTTACTTAAAGTCTAGATCGAAAAAGAAAAACTTTTAGTTAGCTGTAAAGATGCAATTATATCTCACTATGATAGTGATAATGACTAGTAGAGAATGTGAAATTTCAACAGATTTATGAAGTATAATTTGTCGTAATTCTTTATGATTCCAGGCGAGCAAAAAATAAGGGTTGACGCCCAACATGTCTAGTCCGAAAATGTCCGCACTACTGTCTGGTGTAGTCTGAGACGACATGCAGCCCATCAAGACGAGTCATGTTCACGAAGAATCCCTGCACATACACATAGACTAGTCTAGACGTGCTCAGACCCTGTCATGACTAGTCTGTTTTATCTGTTAATACTGTCCAAGCTAGTCAGCAGGACAAGAAAACCAGAAGAAAAAGAGGATAATGGGTGGATTCGAACATTATATCCGACAATATTCAATACCTGACTAGTCTGTAATGTCTTCAATAGTAATTGTGTCTACTGTGAGGAGTCATTTGTACTAGTCATGACTACTTGATTTTTGAGAAAGTAGTGCTAGTTCTGGTCCAGACTAGTCTAAATTCTTCACACCGTTGCTTTTGCTTGGACATAATTGTTCGGACAACTCTTTTAGACTGATTCTTGTTGAGACTAGAATGATGCACAGTAAAATAAAAAGCAGCTGTTTACATCTTTCTTTTTATTGACGATATCGGTCAAATAGAATGAATGAATATATTCTGAAAGAAAGAATGACTTACAAAATTAATTTAAGAAATATGATGGGTGTTTCCAAGTAGTAACACCTATCATATTTTCTTAATTTAGTGTTAATTTGTCTATTGTGTTTGATCGAATATAAATATTGACTTTTCCTCAGATGAAACAAATAGATAAACGAAGATAAATATGGAATGTTCATGTGTTGAATTGAATGATTTACCCGATGAAATTCTTTTGATTATTATTAAAAAACTGAACAATTTTGATATACTTCATTATTTTCATGGCGTTAAAAATAAACGATTGAATAAAATAATACATGATCCAATATTCACAAGTAATTTAAACTTTGTCAAATGATCATCTAATAAATTTCTTAATAAACTTTCTTCAAATGTTATACTTAATCGATTTTGTTTACAAATTTTACCTGATATTTCTATAAAAATCCAATGATTTTATCTTGAATCATCATCTGGAAAAAATATTCTACGTGCTGCAGATTATCCTAGTCTATATGGACTTGGTCTATATAATATCAAAGAAAAAGCAGCTAGATGTCTTTTTACTGGTAAGAAAATCGAAATAGAATTCTTTTAATTTTAAACAAAAATAAAAAATTTCTTAAATGAGATTGACAAAATCCAACTCCTTGAGGATTTTCCAGAATCTTTTGTTTCTATGTGTTAATTTTTTGTTCTTGTAGACCTCACTATTTTGTTATACGGTCTGTTGTTATAATTTTCTTTTTTGTTGTTGTTATTGTTGTCTTTGTTATCTCTCTTTTTTCCTCCTTTGTTTACTCATATGTACTGGCAGGATCTTAGGATCACAGTTTTTTTAGCATAATAAAAAAAAAATAGTAGGAATCGATAAGATGAATAATAGTTTTATAACATATGAGAAAGGAAGTGAGAAAGTCTGTTTGCCTTCGATGAACATCAGAGATCTATTTGTTACATATGACGCCATTTCTGTGTATACCAAACCACAAACACAAGTGCCAACAAAAATACATCTCCACCATCATCATCACTAATTTCGACAAAGTACAATTCTGAGTCACGCAGAAGTTTAGTATTCTCAGTTACATCGGCCACAGTCTTGCCACCCGTTGTTACTTTAAATTCATGACCGAAAACATTGCCGAGACGTTCCACTTTGTATACGCCATAAATTGATTCTACTTCAACTACACTTTGAAAATGATGCTCACCATGAGTTCTTTTAACTGTTCCCAAATGTCGATCATTGTCTCCGTTTTCACTTACTGCTGAAATATCATATACTAAATGAAGATGAAGGACTTGCTCACGTATTTTAATTAATTCTTTGCCAGTTGATGCTTCACAAAGAGACAGTTTATCGGCTAATGATAATGGATTCAAACGAACAGTATACACTATCTCATCAGTGCCATTGTCAATTTCAAATTTATGATGATTCGATAAGTGTTTGTGATGCACTCGATAAATACGAGAAGAAGACGCCATACGAAATAACGATAATACCACACGTATTTACATTCTATGCTTTGTGAATAACTCGAGCGTGACAAATACATACACATAAAATATAGCACGCGTCTCCACTACACATTAATACTATTGTCCAAATTATCATTTGATTACAAAAACCTTGAAATATTTATGTCGGATAAAATTGGGATTTAGGTAAAATTAAATAAAGTTTTTAAAAGATTTAATAATTAAAAATATTGAAAAAGATAAGAATAAAGAACTGATCTTATATATTTGTAGTAGGTGAGTTTAGTATTTGGTTGAGATTGAAATAATGTTTTGTAGTTTTGTAGTAAAAGATATCGCTAACAGAGATATGTTTAGACTTTTATTCTATATATAAACAATAATTAAATAGTTGACCATATTTATATTGTTTAATAGATAATATATTTCGACTATATTTTTTCTGTTGTCAAGGACATAGATACATTGAATGGCTAGTGAAATTTCAATACTTAGTAAATGGATCTTTTGTTTTATGTCGACTAAATATTTTCGATGCATTTTTTTCATCAAGAGCATGAAGTTAATATTAAAGAGTTTTAAAAACTAATATGTATTAAATCACATTTGTATCTTATAACTATGATATTAGAGTTTAATGTGTAATTGTAAATACTAAGAACATTGTAAGTTAGACTTGTTGTCTAAATAGTATAATTGATGGTATATGATGTATTATCATTCTTAGTAAGTTAGGGATCGATTTTTTCGATAGAATACAAATCAATTTTTTATTTATGTTGGTTTTTCTATTCACATTGATATTGTCAAAACGGAAGCGAAACAAGTGATAAATCTTATCAAATACCAAAACGATCAAAATCGGCTTGAACTAAAGAAAATAGATATAGTAACCTTCGAATGGCTTCAAAAAGAACTCACTTGATTTCTATTCGTAATTAACAGCAAATGAAATCGAATAGTCAGAAAAATTGAATTGTATACACTGCAAGAATCGTAGGTTTTTCTTTTATCAGTAAAAGAAAAAAATTCAAAAAAATTTAATTTTTTTTTATTGTATTTAGTATGGCTTTACTTTGTGAACTTTTGTCTAAATCAGTTAGTTAATCTCCTTGTTTATAAAGGTTTATTCTTATCATAAATATTTTTTAAGAGAATTTTTTTAAATTAATGCGCACATTCTAAAGTTAACGAAAATCTGACGTTAACTATAACTTATGTCTTGATTGATACGACCAAGAGAAGAGCGCTACGAAATAAAGTTAATATCAAAGAAATAAATGTAAGATTGATGGAATGAATGACTGACTACTAGAGACTGTTTTTTTCCCATTTGCGCTTGATTTAGTCCAGCATGCATCATGAGACGTGAGAAGATATAATGCTACATGATTACAAGTAACTTATGAATAAAGTAATCAAAAGCAAACACAAACACAAAGCAGATAAAACTATAGTCAAAGATAACATGAGTCGTGAACGATGGTTTGCAGAGAGGAATCATCTAGATATACGAGTAACTTGAGACATATAGAAAAATGCAAAAAATTATTTAAACATAATGTTGCCGGAGATAAGATTCAATCATAATGCTAATATTTGAGAGTCCAACGTATTCATTACTCCACCATCTTCTCAAAATAGAAGCTCAATTCAAGATTGATGTTCCGTATTATATAAATAGTTAATTTTGACGCATTTTGTCTTTTCTAATATCTTGTTATAGTAAACAACAATGTCACATCTAATAATAAGTCTTGATATAGTTTACTTGTATGCGATTCAGGTACGATACATTCTGAAAGCAATAAGGTCCAACGAAACAAAAAATAGTCTTATTTATTGATTATAAATCAACGTTTGTGTCTTATGGTCATTTAACTCATGCAAATCTAATATAAAGAAGGCATACTAATAAATGACACACAATTGACTGTGAGTCTATTCATGCATTCTGAGATTCTATCGGTATTATTCGATTCGTTCGTACTGTTTTCGTAATAGCAGGTACTGTGCATATTCGACGATGACGTCGACAAAACAATTTGACCTTTTGTCTTAAGTCTTTCAAAATACCTAAACACACAAATGAGGTGAGCGGTGGCATGCACATAGATAATGGATATATCCAATTAGATGCTTCTATACCGAAATTTGGATCCCATAATAATTGACCGAGTTGAATTAAGAAAAATCCTCCATTAGTTATCAAAAACAAACACCATATACCAAGTAGTTGAATTGCCATGTTGCGATTTTTGGTCCAAGTTAACTGTTGACCCACTCGTTGTTTTTGTCGAAAAATACGAATGAGGAACAATATGTTAAAAATAAAAGTCAATAAAATAAGGGCAAATCCATGAGCAATCTGTTCATAAAGTGCCATCACTTCACTTGAAGACAAATAACAAGCTGGAGCACAATATCCAATACTCGCATCGTAATAGTTCTCACATGGATAAAATAATAGAAACACAATATAGTAAACAAATGGATAAATACAGCAGAAACTAAGAGGAATATAATGTCCGATGAGACGTTTCAGATGTGTGTCATAGAGTTTTATATGAAATATGAGAATATGTCGTTCAAATGAAGCCCATGTCAATAATAAAAAGCAATTGGTAAACAGATAATAATCAATAAAATAATCAAAGATACAAAAACTCACAGTAGGTGGCCAGATGATACCTGTATAATACGAAGAAAGTTGAACTGGTACATCAATGACCGTTTGAATGCCATTAAAGATCAGCAGAAGAATAATGACATGATTATGAAGAGCACAATAAATCGCTCGTATTGTTAAACAGTGATAAAGATCAAAGATGAAACAGGGAACTGAGCAAATTGCAATAATTAGTAAAATACTAAATTGAATAGGTTGAGGAGGATAAAGGGGTTCAAAAATAAAGTTTGTAGTATTGTTAAAGAAAGTCATAGCGCATGTTTATTTACAGGAATAAGCAAAATTCAAACAATGAATGTTCTCTTAGGAGAAAAAAACTATTTTAAAAGTTTTTGAATAGAATAAAACGTCGCATGTAATTAAATGAATCGGAACTTAACTAACGTGAATTCCATCGAGATAGAAATGAAGTATACTTATCTGACATCTGCATCCTATATCTTTTTTTTTCTTTTTAATGTTTGAACAGGATGAATCAAAGAGGCGACAACGTCGTTTTTTTTCCTACTAGTACATCGCATAGACTGTCTATCATTTGTAAATATTAATAAGATGCAGTTTAAGCCCAATACAATTGTTTTTGAATTTTCGTTTGGAAATAAAGTTGACAGATTTATAAGCTTTACAAAAAACGATTTAGTTTTTGAAAATATATCTTGAAAGCAGTAGTGTCAAACCTGAAAATTGACTTCGATTATTGAAAACTTTTTCAAATATTCAACTATTCTAGAGATATGCGATTTAATTGTATAATTCTTTGCTGATGTGTCATTTGTATGATTTTGTTGGATAGTAATGTTAAGAAGAAAAAGAAAAATGTCTTTTCATTTTAAACTTTTAAATTGTCGGATGAGATAAAATATTTGTTTAAATGTGCTAATAAAGAGTCTTTGAAATTTAATGTTCTAAATTTAGATTAAAAAGTTTCTGTATTAAAATACAGACTTTCAGATTAACAGTAAAATGAAATATTACAAAAGGAACTAATAGCTCTTGTTACAACTCGTGTGGAATTTAAAATCATGAAGACATTTGGATAATTCCATTGACAAATAATTTTGTTTTGTGTTATTTTATCAATTACTAAAAGACTATTGATATTTGTATAGTTAAAAGTGTCTATTTGATGTTTTTTTGTGTAGTAATCAACATTGCATGTGTATTTGTAATCAAACTTCTCGATTTCACGAAATAACTTGTTATTCGTTTTTCTTTTCCGGTATTCAATCTCTGTTTTAATGCACTCTTACTTGATGAGATAGAAATAAAGAAATCTTCATTGTTGATGGAGAAACTTAGATATTTTTTTTTTTGTATTATGAAAATAAAATTTTATTTATTCTTAAAAGGTCAAAGAAAAGAATAAAGTTTTAAAAGGCTTGAAAATTAATTATTCAAAAACAAACACACGATACCGAATTGTAGAATAGCACTTGTTGAAAAAAACCGAAGAATTGAAAAAAAGAAACAAAACTTAAGCAAATGATTGTGAATGTGAGAACGAGCTTTTAACAAATAATTCGTCAAGAAAATTACAACAAGTTAGAGAAAAAAAAGGATTCATTAGCAGAAAAATTAGAACAAATACCAGGATCACGAATTAATCAACTAAAAAACAAAACACTTTTGTAAATTAGTTTTTATTTATTTATTTCTTCGTCTCTTTCTTTCCAGGAGGAATTAAAACGAGAAAATGTTGAATTAAAAATTGCACTTTAAAAAAGAATAAGAATCTTTAGTTAATTGTTTATCGAAAAGAATAGGAAATTTAAAAGCAGATTAAAAATTACTTCAATCAAAAGTTTATTTGCACAAATTTTATATAGGAAAAAAGAATTTATGTTTTTATAGAAATTTATCTTTCGAAAGTTCTATGATTTAAATCATTATAATCAGTCTTGTACAACATTCATAATGAATCGCTTATATGAAACGAAAGAATCGAAATGAAATAGTTCTCGCCCTTTTTTTCTCTGTGAACACTACTAAGAACTGAGGCAACAAAAACATATTTTTTTTAGAGACAAGTGAAAGTTCGCTTTTGTCTTCTACTCTCTTCTTTTAGACATCAATGATGGAATTAAAGGAAGGACAATTGCCCCATTGCCATTCAAAAATTTTTTTCGGTTTTTTTCCATCAGAAATCCATATCTGCTCCATGAAAAACTTCTTTTAATACAAGTAGGACACGAAAATGTCTCGATCGATTCACCACTTGTGTCAAAAGTACTATTTATAGCGAAAGCTTAAGAATCTTGCTATCACAGTATTCAATTTGCCTCCTTTTTTCTTCCAGAGAAATCTCAAGAGAATCTTG